GTTAGCTATTAATCTGGGAAGAGATGGCTACATAAAACATAATTAAAATTAAAAAGTAATAGAAGAATTTCCAACATACTCGTGACCGTGTGAGTATCAGCAAATCCGTATGGTGCTTCTAATACCTTTCGTTTTAGGTGTCGCTCTCTAAAATCTAGTGTTTTCGTCTTTGTTCTACATGAAGGCGAATATTCGCACAATTCGCCGTGTGTGCCCCGACATAGATAAGGGAGGGCGAGAGATAGGTAGCAGCGTCCCTCTTAAAACATCACTAAAAGCCTAACTGCGGTTGCCAACCTGCCTGTCAAGCGTGGCAACTACTGGGAAAGATCTTATGGGGAAGTAGTATTATTTATTATATTATTATTTAGTAATAGTATTTCAAAAGTAGATAATTAATGGCTGAAATAATAAAAAAAATCGAAAGTAAAGAAAAGGGTGACCTCTGCACTCCATCGCCAGCATCAAGCAGATGCTACGCCTACATATACTTACCATCATATATGTCGAGTTAAACCTAGTGACACGGAGGTTGTGGCCTCCAGAGATGAAGCCGGGATAGTGGGGTTCGCCTCGATGCCCCAACTCACCTGCCATAACATTTAGGCGGATAAGAAGATCCGTCATGAAGACCTTTGATGTATCTTCTGACATTTTTTTATATCACTGAGGTGGCAAACAAGCATACACTCCACCTGACGGTAAGCGGTTACTGTAACCAACATTACGCCCACTTTACTGATCATAGAGACATTTCTTTACCGTTTTTTTGAAAAACCTTTGCTTTGGTCTTTTAGAAAAACTTTGTCGGAAAGTTATAACATGAGCTAATGAATCTTTGCGGTCTGTTTGATGATGATGAAATCTAAGTGTTTGCGAATGAAATCACCTCTAAAATCGTATTTTTCTTAATAAATTATTATAGAATGGTAACCCCGCCTACGCTGGTATACTCTGGGGGGGTAGCGATGAGGGATGATACGTGATGATGAAGTTAGGTCAGTTGAGCCATCGTGATGAATTCATTTTTTTTATACCATGAAGGTGAAACAAGCATACAGCCCATCTGATGGTAAACAGTGCTGTAGCCATCCATAGGCTACAGTAGCCTGCAACACCCTAGTATCACATGCGCATTACTGACCTCGGGGAAACCTTAACATACCTTTTTTGATGAACCCCATACTGGAGTCTTTAGGGCAAACCTCGGCAGGGAGCTTATTCCACAGCCTTAGTGTTCGCGGGAAAAAAATCCTTTGAAAAGGCACTGTACGTGACCATTTAGGTTCGATCGTGTAAGGATGAATTCCCTGTCGATGGCGAGCGGTGCGATGATAAAAAGTGACTGTGGGCATCATTTCAAATACTTCCTTAGAACATTTATACGATTGGGAGTCTGTAAAACTCAACCAGTTGATCAAATAAATATATTACGTTCCGTTACACCAAAATATGTGTGCACTAAAACGCATCATTCTTCACCATTTCGGCGGGTTTGATCTTATTTTTTTTATAACCCGTAAATACTGTTTTAAGTGGTCGCTTCTGAATTATTATTGTTCTGATTGCTGGTTTTATGTGTTTTTATAATTATTACTTCCTTCATACAGTTTTGTGTAACGAATCTTTTATTTTCCAGTCCAGTGATCAATGAGGGACGTATTTTTAGGATTTCGATATGTAATGCATTACGGTGAGATTTTTTTTTTTGCTATTATTGTTTTAAGAATTTTATTTAAATTAATAAAATAACTAAAAGATATTTATATATGGGATATAATTAAGAAAAAAAAATATATATAAAAGGAGCCTTAATAATATCAGTAGATGGTAAAATAATATTTTTTGGTATGTTTGTTCCGACATCACGTAAAAACTATTGCACCAAAGTGTATTCTTCAGGGTTTAACTTAAAATCTGGTATATCTAGGTATGCTATCTATAAGGGTTGTACTACATTGGTTTTCTTACTGATATCAAAGAACGAAGTAGCAGGCAGAAAGCTAGTATAATATAAATGGAATGGCAACCCTGCCTGCGCTGTTGATATACCGAAACCAGAGGGAGACTTTGTAAAAAGGTAGTTTGCTTGGGCACGTCTGTGTCAATCACATGGCTGTGTTTCAGTTTGAAGAGTGGGATATGCCAGTGAAGTTACAGGGTACAGAGGAATAAGGACCTGAGTCCTCAGGAATGGCAAAGCATGAGGGGTATCATGGGCGAAACAGTATACTCTGTTATGTCCATAGTACTGCTTATGTCTATAGGCGACGGTTACCACTTTCCATCAGGTGAGCCGTCAGCTTGTTTGCTTTTCTAAGTTGCATAAAAAAAGTGACACCTGCAATACCAGAGGCGTTTCAGGTGTGCTGACGGCTTCTTAAAAAGGAATACGCTCTTTTCTTGAAGGTTATGATGTCATATCGAATATTAATAGAAACATATTATGCCAATCCCAAATATATATATATATAACATAACATAGATACATGATTCGAGATATTCCCGTAAATTCAATAGGAGGAAAATCGTCGAATATATTCTTGGAAAAAAACTGGTGCTGCGTTCTAAGAGGATAAAAACCGTAATTAGTCTAAAATGATAACGATTAGCTCATCTAGATTTTTTCTTTGAAGTATTACGTGTCTCCACATTTTATGAGTTTTTACTGTGTTTGATCGCGAACGTATTTTTTATTTATATTTTTATAAAAATACGTGTTAAAAATAAATTTATGACATGTATTTTTTATGTTACATCTTTTAAGTACATCTGTTATGTCCGTGTTACCACTTTCCATCAGGTGGACCGTCTTGTTTGCCATTCTAAGTTGTATAAAAAAAATTTAAAACTTTAGTGGCTTTTAAAAAAAATTATGAAAGTATTAGCATATATGTTTAGATGTATGTCGTACAATCATATTTAAACTCGGCAGCAGATTTTAATGTTAGTTCATTAAACCAGAGGGAGACTTTGTACAAAAGTCGATTGCTTGGGTACCTCTGTCCCATTCGTGTTTCTATCGTGAAGCAGTTGCGTTTGCATGCCTGTGTTTCGATTTGAAGGGTGGGATATGGCGTGAATTTGCAGGGTACAGAGGAATAACACCTGAGTCCTCAGGAATGGCAACGCTGGGGGTATCATGGGCGAAACAGTATACTCTGTTATGTGCATGCTACTGCTCATGTCTATAGGCGACGGTTACCACTTTCCATCAGGTGGGCCGTCAGCTTGTTTGCCATTCTAAGTTGTATAAAAAAAAACCTGCTTCCGAGTTAATCTTTTATTAAACTTACATACCAGTAGTATATATTATATATGTATATCAAATTCGTATAGTTAAAGCAGGAAATAGCAAGTAAAAAATATTACATTCAAAGTCTTCGTGTATAGACTTTAATACAATAAGTTGTATTTCAGAGAAAAACAATTACATTGCGATGTGTGGGTGTGCATAAACGTTACTCACACACACACACACACACACACACACACACACACACACACACACACACACACACACATAATACCATTGTAGTGCTGCACTGAGGTCGATAACCTTAGGTCAACTTTATTTATGTATAAAACATACATAATTATTTAATGTTCATAGAATACTATAAACAGGTAAATTATATTTTAATCACAATAAATGGATATTATTATACAATATAAGGATAAGTAAACTGACAAACAAGCTGACGGCCCACCTGATGGAATGGATGGGCTAACTGACCTGTTTCATCCTCACCTATCATCCTTCACTCATGCCCCGCCGGTGTATACCGGTAGCGCGGGTGGGGTTACTATTTCGGGCAGTTTTTGGGGTCAGTTAGCCCATCGTGATGAATTTAACAAGAATTGTTCACGATGTTTTTCACGGGGAACCACGTGGAGGTCGACCTGATAGAGTGTATTGCTAGTAATGGGTTCATTAGAACCCATTACTAACAATTCCTTTCCCCCCACCATAAGAAAAGAGCATATTCCTTTTTAAAAGGCCGGCAGCACACCTGCAATGCCGTAGGTGTTGTGAGTGACCATGGGCGGCGGTAGTCACTTACCATCAGGTGAGCCGCATGCTCGTTTGTCCCCTGTGTTGTAAAAAAAAAATATATCCTTTTCATTCTCACCTATAATCCATTACGGATTATAGGTGAAAATGTAAAAGCAGGTCAGTTAGTCCATCGAAATGAATATACTTGGAATTCAGCACGATGGTCTCCAAGGGGGACCACGTGGTTGACCTGACAGAGTATATTACAGCAATGTGTCAGGCAATCAACGTTACTAACAATGCCTTTACCCCCAGATAAAGGTTTTAGGTAATGTTTATCGAAATGGTCCCCGCGTTATGCTGCAGCCAACTAGCTACAGCGCTGACTTTTAGCGAAAGCCCTTCGGGTAGTGTTCAAGATTAGACATTATAGTTGTTTTAATAAAAGTTAAATTTTTCGCACTTGCAATATTAGAACCATAGATATAGACCGTTTAACCGCTAGAAGGTAAAACATTCAAATTTTGTTAACGGATAGAACTACACGCACTTTTGTATTTATTTTAATTTATTATAAAACTTGAGGCACGGACAAGCATTTCATTTCAACCAAGAGCTTCTCACCTTCAAGCGCAAACATACGTGTTTTGGACCTTCGTTGCCGAATAATAATACGCAAAGTACGAGTCAGCGACCATTGGACTCATCGTATGCCAATTCATCGCACAAGTTTTGGACTACGAGAAGTGAGAAGACATCTAGTAAGGATCGAGGTTAAGGCGTCGGAGGAGCAGCAGCAGACAGCAATCGTCCATAAGCGCATTCCGGAGCGGTCTGCCATCCTCCCTAACCCCATCTCCTTCGCTTCAATTGTGTCACACCGTGCCTTTAGTCACGTTACAGTTCTTGTGTTCAGCAATAAGAAGCAGCTTTGTGTCGCAGCTAGCACAGGCTGATCTTACAGACCAAGAATCAAACGTAAGTACCTTCATAATTTGCCAAAATGAGTATAAATGAGGCTAGTGTTAAAATTAATCGTGAAAGATCCCCTAATAGGCTAATCGCTAATAATGAAAATGATAATGAATTGCTTAGGGACCTAGTCAAGACGCGTGGCATATTAAAAAGCAGGCTTACTAAATTTTCTAAGGCCGTTAGTGATATTACCCTCGAGCAATTAACGAATCAAAAATGTGCCGATGTAAAATTACGCATGCAAGGTATTACAAGCTTATTTGCAGAGTTTAGCGATGTTCAAACAAAAATCGAAAAAATTGTACGAGATTCAGATTTAGATTCACAGCTGACGCAACGAGAATTGTTTGAAGATTGCTATTATCATGCACTAGCTCAAGCTGAATGTTTGCTCAAATCGGTAGAGGTCACTAGCGCGTCCAGTAAGGGCAGTAATAGGGCGTCACAGTCTATAAAACTTCCGACCATCTCCCTACCTGTATATGATGGAACGTATGAGCATTGGATCGAATACAGAGACATTTTTCTATCTCTAGTACACAATTCCGATGAAATTAGCGATATTCAGAAATTCCACTACCTAAAATCGTCACTAAAGGGAAGCGCGGAGTTAGTTATCGATTCCTTAGAATTCTCTGCTAGTAACTATGTGGTAGCATGGGAACTACTTCTCAACAGATACAACAATAGCAGTCTGTTGGTGCATAACCACGTTAAGGCCTTATTTACTATTCAAAAACTTTCTAAGGAATCACCACATGCACTCAGAAAACTAACAGACATTATTCTAAGAAATTTACGCGCATTAAAAATATTAGGTGAGCCTACTGAGTACTGGGATACTTTAATCATATTTATTATAACGTCTAAGTTAGATGAAACCACCGAACGTGAATGGGAACAATTTAAATGCACCACACGAAAATATATTAATGATAATTCTTCACTGAAGGTAGATGATTTACTTATGTTCCTCAGAGACAGGGCTGACATGTTGGAAACATTGCTAGTTTCACACAGGGTTAACAGTGACGTTAAAACTCAAAACGCGACTTCACAACAATCGTCATATTATCCGTCACATAAAAAATCACAACATAAAGTGCACTGCAATGTTTCCACCAATAAGTCACAGCAAGGTCGAATCACGTCTACTAAAAAATCGTGTTTAATGTGTAACGCCGATCATCCACTTTATTCATGTCAAACATTTTTGGACACTAACTTAGACGCTAAACTGCAATTTATAACCGCAAATAAATTATGTGAGAACTGTTTACGTCCAGGGCATTCAGTTAGTATGTGCAAATTTGGACCTTGCAGACTGTGTTTTAAAAAACACAACACGCTTATTCATAATAACGTGACTGATCGAGTAGCGGTCGTATCAATGCATCTAGCCGACAACGAAACCCCGGGTTCTAGTCAAATGACCCCCGCGACCGTCGCACCGCCCGCGCAGTCCATCCCCGCGCAAATTCATTCGTCTCGAGTAAACAGTACACACATAGATAATTTTAATTTAATTCACAAACAATCTACTATGCGACCCGTTTTATTGTCTACAGCTATAGTCGAGATAGCCGATAGGTACAATAAGTTTCACTTAGCACGCGCGCTTCTCGACTGTGGTAGTCAACATTGTTTTATTTCTAAACCACTATGCGATTTAATTAATATAAATTTAATACAGTCCACTTGCGAAATTCGAGGTGTCGGCAACACAGTAACAACGTCATCACAGATATGTGATATCGAGATCAAATCACGCATTGACAATTACTCCGCACGCATTAAATGTTTTGTGTTGCCGCACATTACATCTACGCTACCTACTGCGATGTATAGTCAACGCGCGCAGTCTTTTATGATACCTGACTATATACAGCTGGCTGATCCACAATATTATGAATCTCAAAATATTGATATTTTAATAGGCGCAGACTTATTTTGGGACTTATTATGCGAAGGTAAAATGAGATTACCCAATGGACCCTTTTTACAAAATACAAGGTTAGGTTGGATTATTTCAGGGCCTATTGAGTTTAACACGCACAATATCAATACGTCTGTCCAATGTAACTTCACTCAATCCATTGACACTCAGTTACGACGGTTTTGGGAGTTAGAAGATGTGCCTAAAACTAGTGACATACAGACTGACGAAGAACGCTCTTGTGAGGAAGCTTTCATTCGTACTACCACGCGCAATAGTGACGGAAGGTTTTGCGTCAGCTTGCCACTGAAACAGTCGCCATCTGTTTTGGGTGAATCTTTGTCACAAGCTGAACGTCGTTTTTTGGCACTAGAGAGGCGATTAGAACGTAATTCTAACTATAAAAAATTATATATTGAATTTATACACGAATACATCGAATTAGGTCATATGACGCGAGTAACTTCATATGGAACCCCACACTATTTCTTACCTCATCACGGCGTGTATCGTGAGCACAGCAGCACAACAAAACTTCGCGTGGTGTTCGATGCAAGTGCCGCCACAAGTAGTGGAGTGTCTTTAAATGACATTCAACAAGTCGGACCTCCTTTGCAGCGTGATTTAGTTGACATCCTGCTTCGTTTCAGACAACATAGATACACTGCTTGTGCAGACGTCGAAAAGATGTACAGGCAGTGTCTCTTAAACGAATTACAACGCGATCTCCAGTTGATTGTGTGGCGTGACAATCCATCTGAACCGTTAGGTATTTACCGACTGAACACGGTAACGTATGGGACAGCCTCCGCACCGTTTCTTAGTGTTAGGTGTCTAAAGCAGCTGGCACTCGAATGTAAGGACTCAGCCGTCCAACAAATAATTTTAAATGATTTTTATGTAGATGATATGATTACAGGTTCAGATGACAAGGAGGAGTTGCTTGTACTCTGTAAGAAGGTCACTGATGTCTTAAGTTCTGGTGGATTTCACTTAAGAAAATGGATATTTAATTTTAAATGTGATGAATTGTTGGTTCATCAAATTCCAAATAATAACGCATCACAGGAATTAACATTAGGAGAAAATGTTCAGTGCAAGACATTAGGTCTTGGATGGTACTATGCATCAGACGAGTTTTATTTTAATACTCAAGTTAAAGTTGATACGTACAAGATTAGTAAACGAACCATTTTATCGCACGTTTCTCAAATATTTGATCCATTGGGATTATTAAGTCCGACCATTATAATAGCCAAAGTTTTATTGCAAAAACTATGGTTATTACAACTAGGATGGGATGATGAGGTACCGCGAGACGTGTTGCGCGCATGGACCGTATTTGTAAAGGGCTTATCAATGCTTAATACCATCCGCATACCCCGTCATGTTACAGCTAACGAAGCGATATGTACAGAGCTACACATCTTTACCGATGCATCGCAGACTGCATACGGCGCTTGCATCTACGTTCGAACAGTAACTAATAACGGACTTGTATCGGTAAAATTGTTATGTTCAAAGGGTAAGGTTGCACCTTTAAAACCTGTCAGTATCCCGCGACTAGAATTATGCGGAGCTTTACTTGGGGCTCGACTTTATGATAAAGTAATTAAATCACTTCGTCGTCATTTTGATAACATCATGTTCTGGACTGACTCGACCATAGTACTAGGATGGTTACACATGTCGCCTAATTTACAAAAAACTTTTGTACAAAATAGAACGGCAGAAATACATGAGTTGGTGAAGGAACTTCCATGGCGTCATGTCAGTGGGAAGGAAAACCCAGCTGATCTGGTCTCGCGTGGTGTTCAGATGGAGGACCTTTCATCTTCTACTTTATGGTGGGAAGGCCCATTTTTTCTTCGTCACACTAACTTCAGTTGCAATAATGTACCGTTAAATTCATTTGACTCTCAGCAACTATTGCCTGAGCTGAAATCCAGTGTGACGCATTCCTACGCTACTGATCAAGACTGCGAACGTACATTATTTCCATTTGTTAGATTTTCTCAATATAGTCGCATGAGACGAACTGTCGCGTATATACAACGTTTTATTCATAATACGCGCAATAAAAATACTCAACGGTCAGGTACTCTCACTGTCGATGAATTGAGGGAATCTGATATAACTTTGGCTCGACTGTCTCAACTAGAATCGTTTCCAGATGAGTATAGGTTACTCACAAATAATAGTACTCTAGTTAATAAGCATAATTTGTCTAAATTAAATTTATTTATTGATAAAAATAAACTAATTCGTGTTGGTGGTCGGATTGTAAATTCTCCCGACTTTAATTTTGATAAAAAACATCCGATTTTAATTTCATCTAAACATATTTTCTCCCTACTACTATTCAGACACGAACACAAGCAGTTGTTGCACGCAGCTCCACAGGCGCTTCTTTATAACTTACGTGAAACGTGGTGGCCAATTGGCGGTAGAAACTTAGCAAGGAAGGTTGTTTATGATTGCATTATTTGTAAACGCTTGAGAGGTATGACCCCTACTCCCCTTATGGGAGATTTACCAAAGGAACGTTTAACTTCGGGCTTTCCTTTTATGCGTTCTGGGGTGGACTACGCCGGACCAATGCTCATACTTAATCGTAAGGGTAAAGGTGCTAGGACGACAAAATGCTATGTGTGCTTATTTATTTGTTTTGTAACGCGCGCTGTACATTTAGAACTCGTCAGTGACTTATCAACAGATGCATATTTATTAGCGTTAAAGAGATTTATATCTAGGCGTGGCAACCCATGTGAGATTTTTTCTGATAATGGTAGAAATTTTGTTGGATTGATGAATGACTTTAAACATTTTTTAGCTAATTGTTCGTCACAGATTATAGAATATGCCACGGCTCAGAATATTCAATTCACATTCATACCGCCTTATGCGCCTCATTTTGGCGGATTATGGGAAGCTGGAATTCGGTCCTGTAAGAATATTTTACGTCGTATAGTAGGAAACGCGCACTTAACCTACGAGGAGTTCAGTACAGTGTTGACACAAATTGAAGCGGTCCTGAACTCCCGTCCTTTAAGCCCTATGTCCTCAGATCCACAAGATTTGTCGCCTCTTAGTCCAGGCCATTTTCTGGTGGGACGTCCACTTACTGCGCCTGCTAGTGATGACTTCACTGAGACGCCTGTTCATCGACTGACACGTTATCAACGAGTTGAGCAGATTCGACAGCAATTTTGGTCCCGTTGGGCGAAGGAATACGTGTCAGAACTTCAAATAAGGACTAAAGGAAGGAAGAACACACTTGAACTGCAGCCTGATATGCTAGTAGTTATTAAGGACGACAACCTACCGCCGCTAAAATGGCATCTCGGTCGAATAGTGAAGATCTTCCCTGGCAAAGACGGCATCACTAGAGTAGCCGATATTCGCACATCGTCAGGTGTCGTGAGACGCGCTTACAGCAAGATATGTCCCTTACTTGATGACTAATTCTAGTTTTGAAGTTTTAAAATTGAAAGCTGAAGCTTTCAAGGCCGGGGGCATGTTCAAGATTAGACATTATAGTTGTTTTAATAAAAGTTAAATTTTTCGCACTTGCAATATTAGAACCATAGATATAGACCGTTTAACCGCTAGAAGGTAAAACATTCAAATTTTGTTAACGGATAGAACTACACGCACTTTTGTATTTATTTTAATTTATTATAAAACTTGAGGCACGGACAAGCATTTCATTTCAACCAAGAGCTTCTCAGGTAGGATTTTAAACTAATATGGTCAAACAGGTAGGATTTTAAATTAATATGGATATATTTCAAGTATTTAGATAAACAATTATTATTTCAGTCTGGGGTTCGAACCCGTGACCGTTGGAATATGAGGCAGAAGTAATATGGAATATTATATCAAGATGATGATAAGCTCTGTTTAATAGCTTCATCGTGACAAATTCACTGATAATTTGAACTAAAATTTAAACTGAAAGCCTATTTACTGTCCAATCTTGGTAAAACAACAGAATAATAATGTAAATATTGTCATTTGAGAACCGAATGTAAAGTACACACACACAAGCCAAAGAGGCTTAAGTGGTACTAAAAATCCATTTTTTTTTAATGTATTTATGTATGCTAATTAAATAAAAAAACAAAAAAAAATTAATTAACTTTCCAAAAAAAAAACTGCATTGAACCTGACAAAAACAGGGTATAATGCTTCCAACGGGGCCACTAGTCCCCATTAATAATCCTTCCCAAGTAACTATATATGTATGTATATATATATGATAATTGAAAGTGTTCTAGATGTTTCTATTATCGCTCGGTATTTGTTGGCATTGACTCATTATTGGTATGTATCTAGGGCATTATTAAAATATATGTAAACCGTATTAATACAAATATCATAATTATATACTAGACATATCCCTTGGTTTCGCACGTGTGAACCTGTTTTCTTTCTCGTTAAATTAGAATTTAAAACGTTTTTTAATTAGTATTTATTGACTAAAGTAGAAGAAAACTTGGTGAAATTAAGGAGGTAAGAAGGTATAATACTTTAGTTCTAAAAAATGAGAATGCATGTGAGATTCTATGGACTTTCAAGTGTATTTTATAATATCCATGGTTCTGTTCATGTATATGATACGCTTATTGGCCATTCTAAGAAGCATTGAACAAAAAAATTAAAGATTGTGTCCCGCAAAAAAACAAAGAAACAACTCTTCTCAATCAATTCAAACGCATTGTTTGCTTTAAAAACTAAATTAGTGTAAACAAGTATATTCTTTTAGATATTTTTTTTTTCAAATTTATGAGTTAACAAACTAAAAAAAAATATAGCCAAAATGAGTACCTCAGTTTTGAAGTTGTTTAAAAAATAAAAAGTCTACCTACCAAGTTTCGTACAAATTATAATTTAATTTATATTAAATTTAATTTGTATTAAATTTAATTTATTTTAATTACATAATAATTTAAATTTACCTGAGTCCTCAGGAATGGCAACGCATGGGGGGGTATCATGGGCGAGACAGTATACTCTGTTATGTGCATGGTACCGCTCATGTCTATAGGCGACGGTTACCACTTTCCATCAGGTGGGCCGTCAGCTTGTTTGCCGTTCTAAGTTGTATAAAAAAAAATTAATTTCATTTAATTCTTAAACGGCTATTTTAATTAAAACAAAATTATAATAGGATTAGTATTGTAATATTGAAGTTTATCTTGTTCTTTTATTGTTTGTAAATTGTCACAATATTGTACACCACTCTACCCGCTAACATTGATGCTCCTTTCCACTTTGGGTGTTGCTGGAAGAGAACTCTATCAGAGTTAAATTCGCCTTTGTACATTTACTTATAAAGAAATAATAATAGTAGATTCAACGCATACATAATAATATTACATTTAATAGATTCTTGTTAATATATTTGCATAGCTTATTATATTCATTTCTATACAAAAAGTATACATATATATTTACTAACTACTTATTGTGGTTTTATATCAATGCCGATACTATTGTTTCATAATTTAGGTACCTAGTGTTACAATAAATTATTTTATTTAACAAAACCGCAACACCGACTTTCCGGTTACCTTCTGTTTTATTAAGAAATTAATTAAAAGCTTATTAATGTGATAAAATTATAAAATGACGATGTCTGTACATGGGAGATGTTTATAAAAATTGATAAAGTAAATCATATTGACTAAGATTGTCATCATTACGTTCTGTTACAGCCCTAGCATGTAGGGGGGGGAAAGGGATTGTTAGCAATGGAGTTTGACAGCCTTATTGCTAGCAATATGCCCTATTCGGTCAACCTCCACGTAGCTCCCCCTGGAAACCATCGTGAACAATTCTTGTTGAACTCGTCACGATGGGCTAACTGACCTGCTTCATCCTCACCTATCATCCTTCACTGGTGCCCCGTCGGTGTATACCATTAGCACGGGTGGGGTTACCATTCTATCACCCATAAAAAAACCCTAGCATGTAGACATATTATTGCTGAATATCATTATTTTCATTTAAATTAGCATTATTATGCCTATAACAAGCTCTAAATCAGTCATTCGTAATTTAGCTAGCCAAATTACTGTCTAGCTACGGACCTGGTTTTTGCCCGCCGGATTGGCTAGTAAAATTAACAAGTTAGATTTAGCATCCAGGCTCAATAAAACCCTGAATCCAGGGTCTCGTGCGTCATGAGTCTAGCGGACCTTCAAAATTAGTTAAAAGTACACTGTTAACTGTGTAAAATATTAAATAAATAAATAAATATATATATATATATATATATATATATATATATTGACAATTTACAACAATAAATGTAACTATTCACATTTATTGTTGTAAATTGTCAATATATAAAGTAATTATTATGTACGAAAAAATTGTTCCTTTATATATTTGGCAATTTACAACAATAATACTTAATATTTCTCTTGATACTCCTTCACGTGTCCATATCAGGAGAGACGGTTACTTCTTAACTTTCCTATCACTGGTGCTACTTTCATACTTCCTCTGGTATATTCATTCTTAATATTGTCCATTCTTGTTACATCAAATAACCATTTCAGCTTTAAGCAGGACATTGCTGCTCATCCTTCGACCATTAAGACACGCATAGGAAAGGAAGAGTTGGCCTATTTTGTGTTAGGACCACACAGATTCTTGTTTCCTATATGATATTACTCATACGACATGACTTTTTCCGTTCTACAATGGTTTAGTGCATATTAATGAATATTTACATTTATTACTTATTAAAAACACGTCGTGTACTGTGGTTTTGAGTACTAGGAAAACATGTTTACAATTGTTTAAAAACTGCATTCAAATGTGATGCAACTGTCTTATTTTTAAGTCTTCCAAAAGGAGAACGATTCTTAACTCGTTTGCATTTTTTGTAAATATATTATGTAATTACATAGCTTGAAAATTTAATGCAATTAGTTTCTAAATTTTTATTATTATTATATACTTTATTTATTACAAAATCCATAGCTCTATCTACAAAATATCACAGTTTGAAGGGTGGGATATGGCAGAGAATTTACAGGGTACAAAAGAATAACACCTGAGTGTTCAGGAATGGCAACGCATGGGGGGTATCATGGGCGAAACAGTATACTCTGTTAGGTCCGTAGTACTGCTCACGTCTATAGGCGACGGTTACCACTCCGCATCAGATGGGTCGTCAGCTTGTTTGCCATTCTGAGTGGCATAAAAAATATCCCGGTCACGCGGACGAAATCGTGGGTAAATTTATAAATCATTTGTGTACATTTACTCCATTCGTCGTACCACATACGTACTATCTCACAAGACGAGTTACAGTGTAATCTGCCTGGTATTCAGACTGTATCTTAACTACTGCATTCTTGAATTCCACACATGCAGAAAGAACTTGTTTAAAATCTCTAAAAGATATTATTATGTATTTTTGTGATTATATATACATATATA